GTAATTCCACTAATCAGCGTCCATCGTTGGTACAGCGCGATCGGTCGCTGGTTGCGCCAACGATGGAACCATAAATGGCGCAGCGCAATCGAATGATAGTGCAGACTGGTCGATGACGCATAACAAAGGTATTCAGGGAGTAGGTAATCAACTGTTAATGGCGCATCTGAGGAGACTAGAAACACAAAATGTTGTTTCTGGCAAATTCGCCCTGAAACATTTGTATCATTGTGGATATTTTACGCCATGACTGCATTTACAATTTTCGTTTAAGTGGAAAGTTGATTTATATGAATGCAATATTGTCTGTACAGAGTGGGATCATATCTTGAACTTTTTATATACCTGGTTTTTCTTTTCAATCCTGTATGGTGCACAGTGTTGCTATTTTACAATCGTTACATCATCACATTATGTCATTACCCTACACCAATTTTATAAACAGTTCTCGATTTCTGAGCATGTAGATTCATTCCACTTTCTATTCTCAACCTTTTTTTTTCCAAAATGCCTTTTGACTTCTACTGGTTTGTAATCTCACTTCCTCCCTCTCTTACTCCTCCCTAGCTGGATGGGCTGTCACCATATCCTGATATAAGATACCTTACTTTCGGCAAGATTACTGGAGAAGGTGCGCCTAATGAATGATATCTGGATCGATTTTCTCTAAACTGGGCAGATGGGTCTTACTCTTCTTTGGCTTTTAGAGCCTCCCAACGTCCTACAGCAATAATGGCAGTGGAAATAGTTTAAAATAAAACAAAAATGTATAATCTTACAAAATAATGCTATCATGAAAAGCGCCTGACTTACCCTCCGTGAACTTTGCGTTGTCGTCTTCAGTCTCGTACCAGAATCTATCGCCGTGCTTTAGCCTCAGGAACTGGTCCAGCAGAATGCAAGCGAAGGTGGGACCTACTATTCCTCCTTCTACCGGGTGTTCAGCCAAGCCACCGACATACAGTTCAATGTCTTCCACATCACTATAAGATCAATATCTTTGGTTAAAAGGTTCAGCAGAAATCTCCATTGAAATTACTTCACATGGAAACATGGTTATAAACAGGGTAATGCCGATTTGCAATATTTAGACATGGAATGGTATACCTATATAGATTCTCAAAAGTATCGATCACTTCATCATCCATTATTCCCGAGAGATCAGCAAAGCTAGTGATGGGAGACAAGTGGCATGCGTTTCTGAGTGCCGTGTATGAGGCAATGCCATGGTCACGCCCCCGCTGTATGTTGTCGGTTACCAAATCGACTCCAACCATGTTGTGCCCTTTGTAGAGTTTGCCCGCCACCTGTTTGGAAGTATCAAGGTTTAGACTTTTCGATTTTCTGTTAGCCAAGTGCTGTATTCGATATGCAGAAGGCTTTAAAGCAGATAAATTGCATACTCTTGTATAATATCTGTGCAGAGTCGAAAGTTATGACTTTCCTAAATGAGACCCGACTCGCTCCACACGCTTTCACTTGACGCTCAACTCACTTGCCGGCTAAAGAAGAGGTCAACGTCAGTCGCGCTCTGTCGAACTGCCCCTCGCAACAGCTGCGGCATTGCATCCTTCGTATACATGATAAACGGGTCCATGTACGCCGAAGACGTCTCGGTAAAGGAAATGTCGCCCAAGTTATCTGCTCTCTCCATGTGACCCTAAAATGAGAGGACAGGAATGAAACTGGGAAATATGTATGATCTGATAGGTCCTTCGAACCTTCCTCCTCGGCATATTACATTGATTATGGCACTCAGCTACAATCATAGTGCACTTAGGGGCAGATACTATCAAAACCGATTATTGGAATGTCAAATATCTTTACAGTTAGTCTCAAGACAGACATGTGCAAATACTATATTTCATTATGACAAGATTTTTTTTTTCAGAACTGAAACAATTCTCCTTCACGAATAGTCTAACCCTAGTTCAATTGAATTCTGCCAATTTATTACAATGCATACATTGAATCTCCGTCGTCGGCTGGTAACAAAATCAAAACCTACATGAATTAGATACTAACAGATGTGTAAATATATATTTCATAGGCCTTTCAATATATGCATGTACATGAATATACATATATATGAGCAATATGTATATTCTTTATGATTTTTTTTTTTTTTTTTTTTAAGAAGAGTAATCAATATGTTAGTTAATGTCTGAAATTTGTTATAACATATCAGCTAGAACTGCGGGGGAAGCTTTGGTTCAGCACAGACCTTCCAAAACCATTCTAATAAGGGGTAGTGACTGTTAGTAGGGAAAGGAGCTTTATGAATGCCAAGCTGATATTATTCATTGGTAGATCTCTAAATGTTTTAAATATTTTAGTAGATATTCACAACTAGTAACTTTAGATGTTAACGTGCCAGATGATTATAGTCAATTTATCAATTACTGACAAGCCCAAAATGTCATTATCGGAAGGAACTTTAAATACACCAGATTTATATAATGCAGGATTTTTTGCTATTATATTCCACTTTGATTAGATTATTCCAAATCTGCATTTCATATCTTCTGAACTTTCTTATGATGCACTTATATTCGCACATGTCTCGTGCAATTTCTTGTTCTGATTAAAACTATCTTTAGTGCAGCAGTTTTTTCTACCAATGCTTGGTGTACATGATCAAGGTTTCGGCTACGTGAGTTGAGCTATTTTACGTCATTATTTAAGATCTCGTCCAAACCTGAAACCAAACCTTAAATTCCTTAAGGCCGTATCACACTAGCACTTTTCCCGTCAATTTTTGTTGCCGTCTGATTTTCAAGTTTGCTACAGAGGATCTATACAACTAGAATGTATGTATATATATGTGTGTATATATATATATATATATATATATATATATATATATATATATATATATAATATATATATTATATATATATATATATATATAATATATATATATTATATATATATATATATATATATATATATATATATATATATATATAGATAGATAGATAGATAGATAGAACGAATTAATGTATATTTAAACTAATATTTTAGAAGATTCGTATAATACAATAAACATTTTCTTTTTAAAAATCCTGATCATGAGAATGTTCGTGATTCCCTCGCTCTGATGGCGCCATGTTTGTTTACATGGAAATGTTTGCTGCCTTGGTAGTGTGATAGGGTCAGTCCATTTCCATATGAAAAGTTCATTAAAAAGAAAGAAAGAAAAAAAAAATGGAAAAAGTGCTAGTGTCATAGGACCTTTCCTGTAGCGAGAGAGAGAGAGAGAGAGAGAGAGAGAGAGAGAGAGAGAGAGAGAGAGAGAGAGAGAGAGAGAGAGGGAGAGAGAGAGAGAGAGAGAGAATAGGGGGGGCAAAGAGGGAAAAAGAGAGTGATAAAGGATAAGTTAGAGAAAAAGCAGAAATGGGGAGGGAGGGAGGAAGAGAGAGGAGGGAAGAGAAGAAGAGAAAGATAATAGAAAGAGTGGGAAGGGTGAAGGAAAGAGGAGAGAGAATGTGGTGCAAAAGAGAGAGAAGGGTGGAAGAGAGAGGGGGGGGGTTAGAGAGAGAAAGGGAAGGAGAGAGAGAAAGAGGGGGGGAGGAGAGAGGGGGGGGGAGGGGGAATGGAGAGAGAGGAGAGAGGAAAGAGAGGACGACAATAGCAATGGCGGATCATAAAAAAAAACCTGAAGATAACTCACGGGAATCTGACTGTGTCTAAACCGGAAAGCAGCAGTTGCAAATTCAGCACTAATAGCAGCATTTAACTTTGGGCCGTAAATGTGTGTTTGCGTCCTATTCTTCGAAGGTTTTAGCTTGAATTTTCTACTAATTTCATCACCTGGAAGAACAAGAATGACGTGTGCACTTCAGTAAGTAAGGCAATATACGTGTATGTGTGCATATATATATAAAGGGTGTTCAAATGTTCCGGCACCCAGCGAAAATTCGCCGTCAGTCGGCCTTTTGATCGTCGGGTAACTTAAGTAGGTTAATGGAGAAAAAAAAATAAATCTATTACTTTTAAGCAGAGTTCAGAAACAATTTTTTTTTCTCAGATGCACAGAAAATGCATCTGAGGAGCTGCATTTTTTAAAAATTTCCCGGAGGAGGACCATCGGACCTCCTGAAATGCTTAGCTCGCGCCTTTGGCGCTCGGCTGCCGGGCAACGTTGTCCGGCACAGAGTATCCCGCAACCTGGAACAAGGTAGCCTGCTACTTTGAAAACTTTTGAACACACTGTGTATATGTATGTATATTTGTGTAATACATTCATTCATCAAATAACCAGAGAGATAATTTTCTCTCTAATAAGCAGAAAAGTAAATAAACTATATATACTTTGTTGGATATGGGACATACCGAAGATGGGCGGCAGGTACTCGTTGTAGGTGACATGTTGGAGCTGAGCACCCACGATTCGGCGGGCCTCCTGGAACAGCTTTTCATCATTCCAAGAAGGATTGATGTTCTTCAGACGAGACGCTATGTGGTTGTGGTGACGCATCCACACGGTGTGGAGCAGAACAAGCAGAGGATGTTTGTTCACTCTCGAGTCCCCTGTTGTGTTAATATTATCATTTCATCATTAGTATGAAGTGTTTTGGCACTAAGCTCGACAATGCTTACCAATTTGTAAAGAAATGAAAGTTATATATTTTCCAAAGTTAAATCAGGAGAGACGAAAGAATGACCTACCAGCCATGAAACAATACTGTCTCTTATCAGCTTTTTCTTCTTTATTGCAATAATTTGACGTATCTAGGTTCGCTGGGAGAAATTCTTCACCATGAATCGTCTGCAAATGACATACTGATGTATTTTCACAGCACTTGCTTTTATTCAAATAAATTTATTTTTTTAAATGAAAGTCTTAGAAAAAATGTTTGCTTCCTGTGCATCATTTTAATTACCTTATATAATTCTTTGAGAGAATCACCTATGTTCATATTTCATCCTGCCACCACATTAATGAAACTTCCTAACCATAGGGGAGGAGAATATTAACTCAAAAAGCAACCATGGTGATGGTAGCAATAAGACAATAACAAGCTTTCGCATTTACCTGAGTGGTAAGCAGACCATCCGTCCTCGTTCTCAGGGTATTCCCTATTATATTTATACTGCTGTAGATCTGAGAACCGTCGATGTGTGCTGTCTGCTCATTTATCTGTTCTCGTGGACCTGTTGAAAAGGTCTCATGTCCTGTACCAAGTAAATGAAGTCAAATGAACAGGGCAAAAGTTTTCTACTAAGCTTCCGTACTATAGAATAGAAGACAGGCTCACCAAACTTGCAACGTAAGGCGGGTGCCGAGCGGACAAACTCCAGGCACGTCTTGTTGAATCTGCTGTAGAAAGTGTCCCCTGTGGGAATGTATATTTGGGCACACTCAGGGTGGGGGATAGGATCGCCACTGCCGCTGCCCTGGGTCTCAGGACAACAAGGAATCGCCTTACCATCAAGACCTGGAAAATAAATATGGTAAAGGTATCGAAGAAATAGTTTTCATCTGTGTTTTTTGCATATCGACTGACTGAATGTGTGATAACTTCCTGTTAAAGAGTTCAAGTAGGTTAGTAGCACATTTTAATTTGGGTTAATGTCGAATAGAGGAGGCAAATGACCTATATTCAAAGGCACGAAGGTAAGGTCATGGTTGAGAAATTCCCCGTAGGTCATGTGAAGGACGGAGAGGAGAGAAGATTCCCTGTTTGGCTGGATATCGTTGACCCTCAAACTAACGAGGCGGGCGTTGGGAAATGGTCGCCCTTCCTTAGTTGTAGGAAAGGAAAACACTCCTGCAGAGGTGAAAAAAAAAACACAAATTGTTTGTATATATGTGAAATATACATGTGACAATAAGTTAAGAATGATATACTATTGTAAGAAGATATGCTAAGTTCATACCAAAATTCTCATGTTTCCCTTCAGGAAAGGTGGAAGGCAAGCACTCATGGAAGCGATATCAAAGCCCAAATACCAAGAATCCAAGACACCCACCGTTACCGTAGTGAGGTGGAGCAACACGACGGAAGGGCCTTAAAATACTTCCCCAAAAGGGTTTGGCCAAGTTGTTACAGATGCCGTTATTGGACCTGTAGGACATGAAAAGAGTGCAGGCCGACAAAGCTAGGTCCTGATCGCAAAGCTGGTCCTGGGCCAATTGTTCTGATAGCAGGATTTTTAAAGCTACTTCGTGTTGTTCTAGACGGAGCCTGTAACAAGAGGTATATATATCATCTTTGCAATAGGAGATAAATCAATTATGTTTTTTATGTATAATGCAGTCAGTGACAAAACCTTTGAAAACATAACTAAAAAACTATGTGAACAAGAATTTACAATAGATATCAATCGCTTATGTTTCTAAATGAAATGTAATTAGTCACAAAACCTTCTTAGAAAGACAAATGTATGTCATTTAAGAATGCGTGCATTACTGATCAGCGAGGAAGAGAGTGGCGTGATCTGTCACATAGCCAGAGCTTGCTGCTGCTGCGAAACTCGGGTGAGAACTCTTGAGGAGGTTCTGATGCACGTAGCTAGGGAATCCGGCAGGGATCGTCAATTGCTGTGACACCAATTCGTTTTCTATGACCTCCTTCTCTCTCAGACGCATTTGTCCGTAACTAATACTTACTCTGCCGATAAAAACAATATTCGTGCTTTGACTTTTAATGTGATATTTATAATTTTTCTAATTTTACTTAGACATTACTCATCGAATACATATTATTCATTGTATAAATATTTAAACGTTTTAATCCCAAAATATTTTCGCCACTAATTTTACTGTTTCAATAGTCTTCACATTGTAATGCTATTAGAATCGATGGTCATCAGATTATGGGGAAAAAGTGTCATGAATTATCCAAAAATCGAATTACTCAAACAAAAGAGGTCTTACTCGATTAAATCTCACTCACGCCAATATTCATTTTATATTCTTTATACGTCTTCCACAATCTTTCTGGAAACCCTACAAATTATAATGATTTTCCTCACTGTTCTTCCTCCATCGAAGCGTTGAGAACAATTTGATCGTAGGACCTTTTCCCGCGACGAACAAGAATCGTTCCGGAAACATCTGAAAATATCGATAGTGTTCATAGCAGTTAGTAGCAGTTCTCACTACAGTACATAGGTACTGCAGTGAGAAAAACATCGGTAATGCTGTTAATGGTAATTCCAGTGATAATGATCACAGCGATACTGATGGCAGTATTGATTTGATTGCAATGTAGAACGAGTGAAATGAAGGCTTGCAATGATGTGGTATTATACGCTACATATGTTCATAGTTTAAAAAATACATAGTTAAAAATTTGTACTCTCTCGTTCTTCCTTCCTTTATCTTTCCATTTATCCTTACATGATACAACGTACCGCAGCAAGAAGGGGCAACCCAGAAATGCTGCATAAGAAGAAAATAACAGTCTTACCTTCAAGTATTCCGTCGTCGGGGATCACAGTTCCAAGACCACTGCCGAGCAACACGGCAAAGAGCACACAAAACACCGTCAT